AGTAAATCGTAAAAACTAAAGTTTAGTAAAGTTCATCTCTAAATAACTTGTACTAAGTAAATATCGTTTTTTGATGAACAGCTAAGAAGAGGTTTGTTATAAGATTGAGATGAATTTTTGTCTTTTCTTGACGCATTGACTACTTCGAAGTCAAGTGAAGGGACTTAACCGAGTCAGTTAATACCCTGCTCCGTACTTTATGCCATTTAAATTCTGAATTAAAACTGTGGCTGTTTTGAAAGGTTCAAAAGAAGATTTCTTAAAGGATACAGCTAATCCCTTATCACACCAAGTCAAAGCTTCTTCAAACTTCCTCAGTTCAGAACAGGCAGTTGCTCCTGTAGACAATTACGTAAAAAACCTCACAACTTAATAACGGAAAAGTCGACAGGAAAAAACATAAATCCTCAAATAAGGGCCTTTCCACGAATCACACCCCCCTCTAAAAAGCGCGTCTCCTATGGAAAAAATATTTAAAACCAGAACTCCACTTCCGTAACAAAACGGGGAATTTCCAAAACGGAGGATTTTTTTAAGTTCTAAATAAATGTATTTGTTTTTCCCGGAAATTGTAATGGTCATGATGAATTGTTCACAGGACTATATGTTGTCTAGTTCTGTTGGTAATCATTCTCATCGTTAACAAATCAAAATTTGACAAATTTTGTAAACACTTGTATAAGTACAGACTGAATTGGACTCCATTCGGTCCTATTATTATCATGAATTTTATTCAATACTGGTTACTTGTGGGGAAGGGGGGAGAGTTAGAGCTTCAAAGTACTGATCAGTGCATTACTCAACAATCCATGACGAAACACAAAATTCTAATAAGAAAGAAGAGAATAACAGCAACCATGAACACTGTGCCCCTTTAACTCAACTTAGACCCCTCACTTTTTATATAATTACATGCATATCTAGAAAAAGGCAAAGAGCAATTTATCTACCTCTAATAATTGCCTTAAGGTAAGTTGGTTTTAATTCAGTGGCAGCTTTAGCATCAACCAGTGACTCGCCATGATTTCCTGTTGCAAATAACAATTCATCAATGTAAATGCAGCAAGTCCACCTGTAATACATGTAAATACAAAAATAAATCTCTTTTCTTTCTTTGATAAGAAATAACTTCTTTGATTTTAGGGCTCAAGTCCTACCATTGATTTAAGTGAATTTGTATGTGTTGTGTCGGTCACATGACCTGAGGAGGTAATGACACGTGGAGCGACGAGCGAGAGAGGTCGATTGAATTCGTTTGTTATTAGTTATCTTATATGTGATTAAAGAGACGTAGTTACGGACAGAATACAACAGTATGTAATCGATATGGAAGAGTAGAGGGAGTTGGGTAAATCAAACCATCTTCAAATAACCACATTTATAGGGGTAAAAGTTGAAAATATAACCACTGGTTCACAACCTGTTTGAGAAATCACCACAGCCCCTTTCAATGAATATAGACCTAAATAATTGAGACTGGTTTCTAGTTAAGACAGAAGGATATATGTCAACTGAGAAAGTATTAGAGGAGCTCGCAGCGCGCGGAGCTTAGCCCCATAATTATAAAAAATAGTAGTAACCCATGAGGCCGAAAAAATTTGGACTCATGACCATACGGGCGTCTGTACAAGGTGCTACTTTTAGCATGCGCGGTCAACTGTACCACGGGCACGCCAACACCATGGCTTTAGTCTTTTCCTGCTGGCGTTTGAGCACAATGCGTGCGCTACACTTGTACATAGCTAAGGAGGCTCTGGGTTCGAGATGAATTAGTGGATGGTACGTTAAGCGTTTGCAGCCGAGAGCCGCGCGGGCTCATCCTCGTAATGGTATCCGAACACGTGTGACACGGAGAAGTTGTGAATGAAAACCCATTAATATTAAAACGCACTTCATCCATAGTAGGAGCTTTAGTTTTGTATGACAAGGCATGCGAGAAAAAAATGCGTGCTCCCCTTTAGGGCTTGGCTAAATCTATATATTATATCACATTATCCCACCAAGTTTGAAGTGTGCAGTTGCCCTGTTGTTGTACAGTTTGGCCTTTAGTTCTTTCTCATTGCAATTCACTTTAATTCCTTCTGTGTAGAAGTGAATAGCCTCAAGGAAATCTCCTTTCTTGAAAGCTTCATTGCCCTGATTCCTATAAACATCAGCTATGGCTGCATGCATCCAACAAACATACAAAAAAAGGTTCCGTTATTAAATTAATAGTTTGGAAACCTATCTAAATCTGTCAAGTCCTCATGTATTTATTAAGGCAAAAATCTATGGCCGGCGCCACGATCGAGCCACTATTCTCAGTAAACAGGTTTTAAAATATTATCGAATCTACAGCCTAAATCTGCAGAACAAAAGTAATAGCCTCTTTGTAAATTCAGTTGCAGTTGTGTTTTAATTTGTAATCCAACTTGCAACACGACCCTTGCCAAACCAGGCAATAGCCCAGGCCTTTTGCCTGGCTAGCTTATAAAGGAAGAAACAAGGAACAAAATTTAGCCGAATGGCCCCAGGCTTTCCTGCCAGGCCAAGGCTAGCCTGAACTTTAATTTGGATTATAATGGAGAAAAACATGGCTGACAATTCAGTTTAAGTCTGCCTTCCTGGTTAGCCTTTATCAAAAACAAGAGCCAGACAGAGAGAATTAGCCTGGCTGGGATTTACATGTATACAGCAATTGATGAAGGAGGGAGGAAATAATTCCTTACTGATAGGGAGAGAGAGCCATCCATGTGTATAATAACTTCTCTGTGCCATATAATTTACTTTTCTCAATTATCACATACATTCTAAGGGGAGGGAGTGAGTGTTGCACATTAAATTGGGTAACAAACAGTACAAAGGAGTCAGCTATCACAAGAATTAATTTTTTTTTGATAATATGTAGTTAAATTTGATAATTTGTAGTTAAATTCCTCAGGCAATAAACAAAAAAAATCAACCAACAAAAATTAAAATCACTAGAATACAAGAAGACTCATATTCCATTAAAGGCTGATATTTTCGAAAGAAACTGTTTGGGGCTGCGTAGGAGGGAGTAACGAAATAATTTGGATATATCAACAAAGTTGAAATGGTAAATTGGCCACCGTAACGATCACAAAAGCTGACGTTTCGAGCGCTAGCCCTTCGTCGGAGCGAATGACGAAGGGCTAACGCTCGAAACGTCAGCTTTTGTAATCGTTACGGTGGCCAATTTACCATTTCTACTTTGTTGATATATCCAAATTATAAAAAATCAAGACCGCTTAGTGCTGGGATGCGCAACACTGGGATCTAATAAACGAGTACGAACCAATGCACCCCTAACAACACGTAATCATTAAAGACCGCAAAATTGCAAAACGTTTAAAGTTTGGAATCGTACGCAAATTAAATGGGTCGGAACACTACGAAATAAATTTCAGTTGTTTAGAGAACAGACACAAAGACGTTTTCCATATGAATGTCAATAAGATGTAGTTAAGATGCAAGCAGCGAGAGAAGCGCGCATAGGTGGGTTGAAGAAATATTACAATGGAAAAGCAACAAGAAATGAAAAAAAAAAATCACAGAGGCGTAAACGAGGAGAAAAGGTGATTATAACGCGAGCGAGAAAAGACATACACATGCAAAAAGGCGATAACCGTCTGAATTCACGAAAGGTGGAAACACTTAGAAAACGAGAATCAACGAAAGATATGCAAGCGAAGGCAAGATGTCAGCCAAAAGTGAACTTGTCACATCGATGGTTAGTACATACAAAGTTGAACAGATACACATTCAAGATCTGTTTTCTCTAAATTTTATTTATTGCGCACATGAAAGAAGACAATATTTTCCCCTTCAATCACCAAAATTATCAGACTACTCGCAGTAAAATGTAATAAAATCAGAAACAAATAAGAAATATGTAAAAAAACAAAAACAAAAGAAAACTGTGGTTGATTGCCGCAGACGGTAAACCCTCAATGGAGACATTAAGATGTGAACCCTTTCAATCCTTGGAGAGATTATAATACATTGATAGATAAGGAGTAGATGATAATCAGAAAAAATGTGGAAACTGGGGCATATTATCTTGATAGTAACGTGATACAAAAAGCGTGTAAACAAACACATACGTATCCTTGTCAGGTGAGAGAGTTTCCATTTAAACCGTGGGAATAAAAGTGTTAATTAAGCTATGATAGAGCTAGAGTAAACAGTTATACTTAACAAATCGACGGTGGTTTAGTGTGTTCTGTACTCTTATCAACCACGATAATCGTCATGATCACAATGGTCAAAATGTCGTGGACTCACGCGGCGCTGCTAAGTGAGTCCGCAACAATATCAACGCCAAATAAAACGATTCTTTCAGTGCGCGACACATTAGAGAGATTTAGCACCGCGTTTAGGTGAAACGGCAAACGTCAGCTTGCCCTTTCACGTTTCACATAAAATAGCGTGAACCTTGCTGCTTTAGCTTTGCGTGAGCTTACGTCATGGGGAATTTGAAAGTACCCTTAAGCTTGTATGACCTTGAAGAAATAGTTTTGGGGGCCCTTTTTCCGGAAATTAACTTCTACTCTGTGAGAGAAAAAGCGAAGAAAATCTTACGTACACTGCAAACGTGAAACAGGATGCTTACAAGTAGAAACCACAAAGCGCAACCGGTGTGAAAAAAGGGCGGGAAAAACACGGTCACGTGCTCGCTCACGCTGTTCACGTTTCACGTAAACGCGGCACTAAATTTCGTGGCACGTTGGCGCTAGTAGTGTTGTCTGTACTCTTGTTAACCACGGCAAATTGTTCAATCAGGTTGCGACATCTCTGCCAATTGTGGTGACATGTCTTAACCCAAGAAAATCCTAATTAACACGTTAATACAGTTAAATAGATACAGGCTTAGTTTGTTTAGACTTGAATACAAAATACCACGTAACCTCAGGTTCGAACTTGCACTAGGCCAACTGATTAAAATAAGAATACAAGTGGTTGTTATCAGAATATGCTAAATTAAGATTGATATCAATACTCTTTACTCCGAAGCAGCTGGATTACAGCACATCTTAAAACTTTTGACCACCTGATGGATCCTAAACAGAAAACTGTCCTCCGCATCTAAGTGTAAAATAAAAACCTAAATACCAAGTGCGTGAGATACATCAAAAATTCCTCATATCATACATAGGTAGGTGTTAAGCATAAAAGTTAAGAACTGGGAATATTCAGAATGTTGAAAGTATTATACCTTAAAGCCTTGTATCTTTTTCTCTTAGCTTGTTCTCAAACCTTACGAGCCACTGACCATCGATCGAATGTCCGCCAACAGCTGTCGATATTTACGGTCAGTGGCTCTTAACTGTGAATAGGCGAGTGTTTGATAAAACATTGAATATGATCAAACCCTTTTTCATTAAAGTGAATCTAACAAGTCTGACATATGGCCACATTAACTTTGGTAGTTAGTTTTTTCAATAAATCGTGGAATGGCAATCTCGACAGTTACAGAATTAGAATCAATTTAGAGGAATCAGATTCTGCTTGAAAGAGCAACAACCTAGCACTTTTTCAAGGTAACACCAAATTGTCAGTAAGTGTCATTCATAATAAAGAGAAAAGATCAAAGTTTACTAAATGACCCCTATTCCCTAAAAAACGGCGAACCGTTCCTCCACTTTAAAAAAAGTTTAGAGCATGTAAGTAACAAAACGGCGATGACCTCACTCTTTGTTAAGGAGAATAATAAAAGAAGAAGAAAGGGAAAGCAGTTGACTGTCAGCTTGGCGAAAGACATCATAATCATTATTTCATTCAGGTGACAAGCCGTGGTACATTTCGCAATCTTGGCAAGCAAGTGAAAAAGCAGAGGAAAAATAACAACACATTTTCTGGTCGACGTAACATAGAGTGGTCTTTCTTTATTTCTTCCCAATACTAAGGATATATATCTTCCTGACACGATGAAATTTATATAAATCAAACAGAAACGTGTTGACAAGTAATGAAAAGAATAATAGAAAAGATCAAAAACGTCAATGCAAGAAAAAAAAACATTCTGGTCTAGAGCGTTTTATACCTTCGCGTGTTTTCAAGTCTGAGAGGTCTCTAATTTTAGTGACAAGTAATTTTGATCTTAATAATTTTGATCTTAAATGTATTCATTTCAACGCACCGAAGTCGAGAGTGACGTCATCGCCAATCAGCAAAAAAGGAGCCCAGAATTTGATTTTACTGAACTTCTCGGATTCCCTCAAACTTTTCATGGCCAGGTTCAGAGACTCGCTTGCACGTCTTCCCTCTGCAAGGTGATGGTAGAAGCATTTCATGAACTCCAGTGTAGCCTCGTCGTCAATTGCCCAAAGAGCCACTAAAAGAGAACGAGCACCAACCGCCATAAACGCGCGCGCAATGCCGACCACACCCTCAGCTTTGATTTCGCCCCGACCACTGTGGCAGCAACTGAGTACAACAAGTTTGGCGCGAAGTTGAGCATTTAACACTTCTCCAATTGTCAAAATGAAATCCTCCTTCGTAATTTCCGCGGATAATCTCTCTGGGTCAGGTGTAAGAGCAATTTCGCCAGTATCCATGCTACCGTGAGCTGCAAAGTGAACTAAAGCAACGGAACTGAGTTTTTTCAACACCTCACGCTTCGTTGCCTGTCTACCAGTGAGTGGTGTGACATCCAGGATCTTCCCGATCATTTCTACTTCCTTTACAGCAAACGGGAGCTGCTTGAACATTTTTTCTCCATTGGGGTAAGTCCATGGAATGTCGGTCACCCACGGATCTCCAACAAGTAAGGCACCACTTCTTCTGTGGTAATCTTCTGGGCAATCGGCAATGAGCCTGAAACTTGTCAAAGATGGAGCAAGTCGGATTCTAAAGGATTCAAACAGGAATTTAGAATCGGCATTCTTGAATGCAGCATAAGGAACTAGCCAAAAGGGTCCATCGGGAACAATGACTAGCTCATCGCCTTGGATTAGATCAATGATTGGCTGAATAATGAGGTTATACAAAGTGTTCAAGCAATCTTCTTGTTCTGCGGAAGGTTGGGGGTTTTCTCTTTTCGTTCTCTCGTTCTCTTTTATACCGCTTTCCCTAAAAGCATTCAAAGACCGATCCTCGCATGTCAAATCTACATTAACCCCAATTTTGTCATAAGCATCGAGGACGAGCAACTCAAAGGACTGGGGAGCATCATTATTCTCTGAAACAGTATGTTCTACTTTATTCTGTTTTAATTGAACTTGTTTTCCTTGGGGAATTACCCAAAGACTGACGTCTGGGTAGTCGACTGCTTGAAAAACAGTGTTTAATGGAACGTACCTTAAAACTTCTAAATATTCCTCCTCCTCTTCGAAAGGGTTCTTTAAAACTGCTTCTTCGGGCGAACCTGCCCCATCATGAAAACTACATTCCATCAGGTCAACTAGAGCTTGTGCGCGTCCTTTCTCCGCTGCAAACAAGGCCTCGTCTATCTCACCTTGTTTCACGAGTGCTTTCCAGAAGCCTGTATAAGCTCTCTGAGCTTTATGTCGAAAATTAACTTTCCACTCATCTTTCGATTTGAGAAGGCTTCGCATAGCATCGTAGAGCGCTATACTGGCTTTATAATGTTCAACGGCTGTTGGTAGTCGGCCCTGAGATTCGAAAAGGAAAGCCAATGAATAGTAGGCTGCTGCCTCTGATGATTTGTCACCGACTTCTTTGGTAATATCAAGTTGTCGCCTGAAAAAGTCTTCGGCCTTCATTAGATCACCCAAAGCTAGATAATCATTTCCAAGTCTACCATACGATATACCTTCCCCATGCTTATCTCCTATTTCTTTAATTATTTCCAGATTCAGGTTGTGGTACTCTATGGCCTTTTTGAAATCGCCCAGAAGCAGATAGATCTTGCCAATATTGCCATAAGCATTACCCTCTCCACGCTTGTTGCCAAGTTCAGTAGCAATTTTAAGATGTGCATTGAGGAACTTCAGGGCGTTTTGGAGATCGCCCAGACATAAATAAACATTGCCAAGACTACCATAAGCACCCCCCTCGCCATACTTGTCTCCTATTTCTTTAGCGATATCAAGATGTAGCATGTGGTACTCTAAGGCTTTTTTGAAATCGCCCAGACTGTCGTAAGCATTGCCAAGATTACTATAGGCTACACCCTTCCCAAGCTTGTCTCCTATTTCTTCGCTAATTTCAAGATGTATGCTGAAGTAGTCTATGGCTTTTTTGAAGTCACTCAGAGCATGATAAGCACTGCCGAGATTGCCATAAGCACCACCCTCCCCATGCTTGTCTCCTACTTCTTTCATAATATCAAGAAGTAGGATTAGATACTCTATGGCCTTTTTATAATCTCCCAAACCCTGATAAGCAGTGCTTAGATTTCCATAAGCACTAGCCTCCCCATGCTTGTTTCCTACTTCTTTCATAACTTTAAGATCTAGGTTGTGGTACTCTATCGCTTTTTTGACATCACCAAGCATGTTATAAGCATTGCCTAAATTGCCATAAGCACCACCCTCCTGATGCTTGTCTCCTACTTCTTTAGCAATTTCAAGATGTAGGTTGTGGTACTCTATAGACTTTTTCAAATTTCCCAGTTGTCTGTAAGCACTACCGAGGCTGCCATAAGAACTACCCTCCCCATGCCTGTCACCTATTTCTTTACTAATTTCAGCACTTAGTCTGTGACAATGTATAGCTTTATTGAAATCGCTCAAACTGTTATAGGTAATGCCGAGATTGCCATGAGCCTTTCCCTCCCCATGCTTGTCTCCTATTTCTTTGGTAATTTCAAGATGTAAGTTGTGGTACTTCAAGGCGTTTTTGAAATCTCCCAGACTGTCGTAGGCAATCCCAAGGCTACCATAAGCGCTACTCTCACCATGCCTATCTCCCATTTCTTTACTTATTGCAAGATGTAGGTTATGGTACTCTATGGCGTTTTTGACATCGCCTAAATTGTGATGAGCATTGCCAAGATTACCATAAGCTCTACCCTCACTGTGCTTGTCTCCTACTTCTCTAGCAATTTCAAGATGTAAGTTCTGGTACTCTACGGCTTTTCTCAAATTACCCAGACATCGATTAGCAATTCCAAGATTGCTGTAAGCAGCACCCTCGTTACGCTTATCTCCCATTTCCTTAAAAATTTTGAGAGACATATTGTGATATTCTACGGCTTTTTTGAAATCACCCAGCTTGTGATAAGCACTGCCAAGACAGCCACAAGCTTTACCTTTCAAGGGTGTGTCTCTAACTTCTTTTGCAATCTGAAGACACAAATTATAGTAGTTCAGAGCTTTTTTTAAATCGCCTACTTGTTCGAAAGCATTCCCGAGGCTGCCATAGGCATATCCTTCCCCAGCTCTGTCTCTTCTTTCTTTTGCGATTTTAAGATTTAGATGACAACAGTCAAAGACTTTCTTGATATCACCTGAACTGTTGGAAGTGATATCACGGTTGCCTTGATCTTTTTTGTCCATGAACTCTCCCGCTAGTTCTTCGACAGACTGGGTTTTTAACGCCAACAAGATCTTGTTATTTTGGTCAATCTTATTTACGTTAAAGTGAATAAGAAACTTTTAAGAGACATAAGATATACATATATTTTAAATAAAAATATCTCATGGAAATAGGCAGAACATGCTACAGATTCCATAATTCACTGGTACATATAGCTATATCACCACCTGTAACTACATCTTTCTCCAATTCAGTGCTGTGTTTTCAATTCATATATTAGTGCAATGATATTGAAATCTACGTTATATCCACATAGGGTTTAGTTCTGCTCAGACAAGGAAAGCTATCAGTTCCAGCTATATCCTTTACTATATGAGATGCAAAAGCTGTAATGAAGAGAGTACTATATATCAAATAGCAGTCAATTTGGATGAAAACCAATTTTACTACTGAATAGATATTATTGTCATTCATCAAAATAATATTAGCAAATCACATTAATTGACTATCTTAAGTTCAAATGTTGGTAAAACAACAACAACACCAATGCAACTACATTAATTCCCTATTTCACATTTTCTGCTACAGAGTCAGGTTGACAAAGTGTTTACTCAAGAAATTAGACCTAAAGAGAAAAGGATACAGCTAAACCCTTATTACACCATGTGATGGCTTCTTCAAATTTCTTCAGTTCAGCACTGGCAGTGGCTCCTGTAAGCAACAGCCTTTTATAATTAGTACATCCAAGAAGAGAAACAGAAACCAAAACTTAACACTGATTCTTTATAATTACATCTTAATAATACATACATGTTTAGTGGAAATAGTTTTTTTCAAAACAGAAAACAACACACCTACTCACCTCTCACAATTGCCTTGAGGAATGCTGGTTGTAACTCAGTGGCAGCTCTTGCATCGCTTAGTGAGTCATGATAATTTCCTGTTTTAAAAATAAACATTTCTGTTTAGATCCAGCAATGCTGGTAATATTGTACATGTATAAATGTATTTCATCTGCTCCCATTGGTTTTGCCATAAGAATTAATTAAGTTATAGGTATTGCTTTGCATGTTTTAGGGCTCATTACTAGTGCAATTTGGTTTTAAAAAACTGCTTTAGGAGCTTACAATTTAAATAATCTCTGATTTTGGAAAACAACTATATAATTCATATACTAGTTCCCAGAGTATCAAAAAATAAAACTGTGTATTTAAGCTTCTCAGTACCTAATTTAAAATGTACAATTGCCCTGTTGTTGTACAGTTTGGCTTTCAGTTCTATGTCATTGCAGTTAACTTTAATTCCTTCTGTGTAAAAGAGGACAGCATTGAGGAAGTCTCCTTTCTTGAAGGCTTCATTACCCTGATTCCTATAAACATGAGCAATGGCTGCAAACATAAAACAAAGATTTGTGTCAATGTCTCAACATTTGGTTTGTTCTGTGGGTAGTTCATTCAGTTTAAAGAGTGTATCATTAAGTTAATTATAAACAAAGATCAAAAACTAAATTACTCATATGTACAGAACCTTGATAAGAGACTTTGAGTCTGCTGGGTGTGGGAAAAAAATGTAGAACTATGCAAAAAGTGGAGGTAGATAGTCATGAGGTTATAGATATGGTCACCCCTCACATACAAGCCGACTCTCTTAAAGTCTCTCTCTCTCTCTCACTTGCAACCTGTTTGCTTTTGCTTTTCATGCACTTAATGGCTGCAAAGGTGTCATGTGCATGTGTGTGTGTATAATTTAATTTTTTCACGCCTCAACAGACTATAGAGAAAGAGGACAGCCATAGTGTAACAGTTGAAACAACACATCTACATAGCTGTTTTAAGTATTGTGCAGATCAAGCTCCAAGCTCAACTTCCTTCAAAATTCCCATTTAGTTAACTAAAATATTAGATGAAAAAAAATGTGAACTATTTTGTGCTTAATTACTAAACATGCCCTTTAGAAAAATTGTCTTCGGTTAAACAGGGCTGAGGGAATTATGCATTATTTTATGAGAAATTACAAACTATTTTTTCTGTGATTATGTGCCAAATTTAGCAAATTATACACAAATTATGCAAGTTGCACAATATTAAAAGTATTGAATTTTACATATATTTTAAATTTATAAGTCCATTTTAAGAAAATCTAATTATTAATAATTATTTGCCAGGATATTGCTTAACTCTCTCTTTGGCTGTTATATTGTAATTTTTTTTGCTTTGGTTTGGAAAAAACTTTCCATTTTAAACACAAAAAGAACAGAAAAGAAAGTTTCTGGAATAAATTTACCAAAATGGCGCCATTTTTCTTTCGGAAGCGTTGATTGGTTCTTTTTCCTCCAATCATATTGCTTGAAAGTCAACAATTAGAGCCCAGGTCTCCAGCAGCAAAAGACAAGAGGCCTGTTTGATTTTACTTGTCTTCCTGCCTGTTTGACACGATCTTTTTGATTAAAAATACAGTTTTTGTTGTTATTATGCATATTATGTTTGCCGTTGTTATTTTAAATTTGAAATATTTCACAGGAATAGTTAATTTGAACTATGATTGGCCCAGGTGTTTCTTTTCCTTTTGTTGTTCAAACTTTCTTTTTTATGAATTAGCATAATTATATATACTACTCTATTTTGTTTTCTCTCTCTATTGTTGTAACCGTTTATTTGGACGTGATCGGAATAAAAGAAGCAGAAATTTGTTTTAATCGTGCAAAAAACTTTAGTTTTTGCCATCAAAATTCACTACAATTTAAAACAACTATTTTAAAAAGTTTTGAAGGTAGGAAAATTTATCTTTTAGGACAGATTTTTTTTGAAATATCGAGAATTATGCCAAAATTATGCACTTTTTAGAGGATTATGCAAACTATGCGTTTGAGCTAAAATTATGCGCTTTTGCATCGGCGCATAATTCCCCCAGCACAGGTTAAAGGCTGACATTTGTTTTTGAAGATTCAGGTGACATATAATTATCTCAATGCCTTATACTTAATTGGGCAACTAATTCAAATGAGCATTACGAACTGTTCTAAATATCCTTTCAAGTGCATGATATCAAATCCTTTCTTGTGTCTGGTGGTTTTATCCAAAATCTGCAGGTACATTTATTCCCTGGTACTGTCATTGGTAACTGAAGCTTGGCAAGACTCTCACCTCCCAAGGTCTCAAAGTCCAAGGCATTTTCTTTTACAGGTCCATCTCCAGTTTCACGTGGAACTTTGCTTGAACTTCTTTCCATAGCTACTGACTATATCTGACAAGATGCTTCCTAGAAAGTTTCTGTTTACATTATACTGGCCTGAAAAGAGAAAGGTAACAATTAAGGCAGTAAACATTAGCGCAATTCATGACCACCAAATCACAAGCTAAACATACGTGGAGGTGGCATGGCCGAGTGGTTAGGGTACTGGACTTGTAATCCGGTGGCCCGGGTTCGAGTCCTCCACCCTCTACCCACTGGATTTGTTCTCCGTTGCCCTGAGTTCAACTCCTCGGCTGCGCTCTGTAAATAGCCTACTGGTTTGCCTCCTGCCAGTAGGGATTTTCATGCATTTTATGTTTACTTAAAATCTTTGTTTGATTTATTTGAGGGCCACAAGTTCATCAGTTGTACTACTGTCATGTGTTGCCCTCCTTAAATAAAGCTGTTATTATTATAAAGTTACAATTTTACACATAACATCACACCAAACGAATTGGAATGAAGAAAGGAGCAAGTTATAAACAGATTTTACCAAAAGGCAAGATAATTCATCATATAAAATGTACTTAAATTTTGAGATTCATGAAATACATTATGGACTGATATGAGCAAAAAGTTCAACCACTGTACGATGTATGTTCATAGTTATCAGCAAAAATTTGAATAATTTATACTTTAAGGGGCTGAGGGGAGATATAATGTTGCAAGCTTAAATGATCATACTCACAGACATATCATTATACAAAATATTAGTTGATTTTTGAATGGGGATTATTAAATGATCACAACGTCCTAAAATTTATTAGCAGAGAGAAAAAATTTGAAATGATAAATTTTCCAACAAGAGCAACAAAACAATTATACTGTTGGCCAAAACCAATAAAATTTTTAGAAACTACATACACTATAAAAACAGTGCAAAACAGTGCAGCAGTAAGAACCAAGTTGAACCAAAAATTCAGCAAAAAGATGGCAAGTGATAGCGAGAAAAGATATGGCATACCTCTTTAGACAGGGGCCAATACATTCTTTAAGCATTTCTAATATCAACCAATTCTGTGGAAGAACAGATTAATAAAAGAAATTCTTAATCTATTTTAATCAAAATTAATATGAAATACTACTAACCAAGTTTTAAGAAATAATTAAATGATTAAATTTCCTACTTTGAACCAGGTAGTAATATAAGGGGCTCATGGTCATTTATGGGAGGAGGGGGGGGGGGCTGATGCAATTATACATAATTTCCCAAGGGACTCTTCTTGCCACTGCATAACATAATGTGGCCCCCCTTTGACTCTGTAAACGAAATAAGATGACCCGCCCTCTGCCACAGAAACAGTTTTATTACAACTTAAATAAAACTCACCCAGCTATTTTAAAAGCAAATAGCAAAAATAAGAGAAAGGCACAGAAGAGCAAAGCTAGACGAGAAGAGGAGTATTTTGGTTTAATCTCCAAACTATAATAATAATAATAACAACAACTTCATTTAACGAGGGTAACACATGACAGTAATTCAACTGATGTCAACTTGTGGCCCTCAAATAAATCAAACAAAGATTTTAAATAAACATAAAGAGCATGAAAATCCCCACTGGCAAGAGGCAGACCTGAGTAGGCTATTTACAGAGTGCAGCCAAAGAGTTGAACTCGGAGCAACCGAGAACAAATCCAGCAAGTAGTGGGTGAAGGACTCGAACCCGGGCCACCAATTACAAATCTAGCACCCTAACCACTTGGCCATGCTGCCTCCTTTAATTATTACTATCTGATGGTGAGATTCCAGTTAAGGAAGTCAAGGTGGCTACTCTAATATCCTTAAAAGGGACACAAGTTTACTGGCTAAAGCAAATGATGGAAAGAGGGCTTATAAGTGATAAAAAAAACTTATTTTAACCCTCTGCAGTGTTTATAGCTGGAGTACTGGTGGGACCAAGCAAACAACTGAAACAAATAATTCAAATTGAACATAACATTGTTAAGAATCCAAACTGGCTGGAGGCAAACCAGTTGGCTAAAGTATTTAAAATTGAGGCTGAGGATTTGAACTCGGAGCTACCGTGAAACAAATCCAGGTAGTGGTCAGGGTGGGACGCGAACCCAGGAGCAGTGGATTGCGAGCCCGACACACTGACTACTCGGCCACGCTGCTTCCCTTCTTTTTTTTTTTTGTTATGCCATTATTTAAATAATTAATCAAATTTGACTTGTTGTCAATTCTTTCAGTGTTGTTTCTTTTTTTTGTGGAATGGAAACTGGAATGCACAAAAATACATGGCCCCTCAGAAATGGTTGCACAATTTTATACAGCCCCCCATTTACAGGAGCACAAAAAGGTATGACCACCCACCCCATTTGTGCCAGCCCACCCCCCTCCCCCCCTCTAATAAATGTCTGGTCCCTAACTTTAAAACCACACAGCTGATCACCAAAATAAAGATTTAAATAGACAAAAGATGATCAATGAGTACGTTCATTGACTCTCTGGCGACTATAAGAACTGATCAATTTGAAGCGTCAACATCCCACCCCCACCCACTTGGCAGACTGTTGGCTATACTGGGGGAATTTTAACAGTTTTATCGTAAAAGACATCACAGGGACAATTTAAAGTATGCCTTATAGCAAAGCTTGAACATAACACGATCCCACTGTAAATGCATGTACATGGATTGCAAACGAAACTGATATTTTGTTCATCTGCACTAACACTATATTAAATCCGCCCTTTGAATATTCCCTTCAACCCTTCCAAACCTCTTCTTTTTTCCGAGGTAAATATAACTCTTTTTCTGCGACTTTTTTCGAATTCAGCAGCTGTAAAATGTAATAATTTGGATATACCAACAAAGTTAAAATGGTAAATTGGCCACCGTAACGATTACAGAAGCTGACGTGTAGGGCTAACGCTCGAAACGTCAGCTTTTGTAATCGTTACGGTGGCCAATTTACCATTTCAACTTTGTTGATATATCCAAATTATTTCGTTACCCCACCGACGGCAGCCCCAAACAGTTCCTTTAGAAACTTTCAGCCTTTTTTCATTTGTAAAATGTAAGCCTAGCTTAGCCTATAAGTGCTGCGAGCATCAGTGAATGCCAAATTCAATTAAAAGTCAGCAACCCTTGGCGTTTACCTTTATGAGCGTCTTCCATGCCGGAAATCAGAGAGAATGAGGACATATAAACAAAATTACAAGGAGAAAATATTAACGAAGGAATTCGAAATAAAAGTATTTACCTCATATACAAAATCTGTTACAGCCATGAGAACGTTCCATCTCTAAAATTGTCGGGGTATTTGAAACAGACGCGACGTGTGCCACTTCAACCCGCCACATAAATGCTTCAAGGAAAGTTACTAGAACTGGTTAAGTATCAAATAAGGCTCAACAGGTATGTTATGGAACGGATAACTGTAATTTTTAGCAGCAAACTTTCTAACACCTCTACCGTAAAATATCGGGTGCTGTCTGTACTAGAAAACGGGGAATCCCCTAGACCATGATTCGGTGCAAGCTTAAAGTTTATGACGCAACATCGAAACCGGAACTGCTTTCCGGAAATGGAGACATGTAACCGGTTTGAGCGGCGATTGTCGAAAATTTCGGTTTTAGAAAAAAAAAGACCGTTTTTTTTCTCAAGTTTCGTAATGATCCAACCTTGACCATGGAAACATACACAGTACAACGTAATGAGTCTCATAACTTGTAAGAAACTAACCACCAGCAAAACAATGTCATATTGTTTTGCTGGTGGTTAATAGTGGTCCCCGTCGAGAAACCCGTATTTGCAATCTTTACAAATCAAAACTACGTCGAGAAAAACTCCATAAAACTGACTATACACCGTGTTTACATGCATGAAAATTTGCTATTCTTCGTGCGCTTCACACAACTTTATTCTCCCACTTTACCTTATTACAACTCACTTTTAGGTGTTCTTGTTAACACTCTTCCAATAACACGTAACAAGTAAGTATGAGAAACTAATTTCCCCGGGATATATTTATATAATTTAACTGCAGTTTCATAGGAGGAAAATTGAATTTTCAAGTTTTTTGGGAGTTTTTTTCTCGACGTAATTCTGATGTGTAAAGATGTTATAAATACTAAAAATGCAGTGAAATACATATTTTAAGAGGAGAACTCTTTAGTGCATTGACTACACGCTAGAATGTTACTTTACGAAACGGTTTATTTGTTGAACTCCAAGTTTTACAACCGTGCCGAGCTCTGCTCTCTCTCACTTACTAACTGGGAAAATTACATGAAACGACAACCGGAAGTGGTCACTACAAACTCCATCACCCTTTTAGTGCTTTTCAGGGGGGTCCTCTGAAAAATAGATAAACCAAGAATCGATGAAAAAATGAAGTACAATTTAAACAAAACTGACCGAAGACAATTTAGTTAAAATTATTTCAAAGGTATTTTTTTCCTTGATGGATCTCGATAGTGGTCTTTTTTTTTTTTTTTCTTTTTTCAGTTTTAGCACGTTGTGTGACTTCCGGCGGCCAGTTCAAGTTTGCTTGACATTCCTTCTGGGTCCAACTGGGCCC